CCGCCGCTGGCCCTCGCCCACGACTGCGGGCCCACAGCGGCGGGCGGGCTCCACACACGCGGCACTTGCGGCACCGGCTGGCCGTCGCCCTCCATGGACAGCTTGACCTCCTCCCACCGCCCCCGCAGCGCCGCTGCGAGCTTCGCCTCGCTGCTGACGCGCGTCCCAGACGCGGCCTGCGCCCCTGCCGAGTCGAGCTGCTCCGCCGCGGCGGCCAGCGCTGTTTCGGCGCGCTGCAGGAGCGCGTGGTCGACGCCGCCCCGGCCGCCGTTGCGCCCGGCGAGGGCCGCGAGCGCGGACATGGCCACCTCGGAGGTTGCGCAGACGGCCGTCAGGTGCGCCTCGCGCAGGGGCCCCGCTAGCGATTGGTGGCCCAGGTAGCGCGGGCCCGGCTCGTTTTGGCGCAGGATACCGCGCTGCCTCGCGGCGTGGGCGCGCTCCGCCAGACCCTGCTCGCTGCGGCCGGCCAGCGGCACATCAGCCAACCAGGCCCCAAGGCCGATTGTGGGCGCCTGGCCGTCCAGCGCGTCGGCGCGCAGCTCCCCCTGGGGGAGGTTTGAGGAGGGGATCGCGAGAGGGAATCAAGGGTGGCGTGCAAGTTGCAGATGCATGGCAAAAAGGGTCGTGTAAGAAGACAGGCAGGCGGGCGGGCAGGCAGGCAAACTAATGGGAAATAAGACAAAGGGCTGCAACAAAAACAGGCTGGTGCGACATTTGCGGTCCAACTGCATTAATTGCTCACCAACTGCACCAGGCGCTCCAGCAGCGGCACCACCGCGACCGTGACGAATTCCTCCTGCAGGGTTAAAATGCAAAAACAGGGTTTAAAAATTGCGGGAAAATTGGTTGCCGGGAAGGCAGTGTGATGAAGCAAGGAGAGAGAAAGCCTTGGTGCTGATGCCCTTTCCTTGCCGCAAACCGAACTCAAAAATAGGATTACTTCGCCACGCACCGTCACCGCCCGCTCCCAGTCTTGTTCCTTCTCCAGCACGCGAGCCACGGCCTGCAGCTCCTCGAAGGCTGGCACAAGGGCCAGCGCGCCTGGTCCCTGAGGCGCCGCGCCGGTGCCCAGCATGTTGGCGGCATTGGTGAGCCCGACGAAGCTGCCAGCCTCGTGCGTCATCGCCATCTGGACACCTTCGAGCGTTGCGCGCTCCTCGGCCTCATAGGAGCAGGCCATCACTGCGCACATCGTCATGATGAAGCGTACCTGGGTGTTGAGACGCAGAGGGCAGCTTGTATTCTAAGCAAACGGAGGGAGCCGTCTCAGACTGCAGTAGCAACAAGGCAAGCAAGTGGTTCCCAGTCTCCTGCCGATCCCCATAATGCTCATGGATGAAAGCCGCAAAGTTGCTAAGCCGCACTCACCAGCGCCTGGGGGGTGTCGCTCACGCGTGCCTCCCCGCGCCACCAGATGTGCAGCCCCTCAACGCCCGGCTGCGAGAGGGGGGCGCAGCGGATCCACGGCTTACTGCAAGGCAACTCGATAAGCATCATACAACACTGTCAGAGCGCAATCGTGTGCTGAATGCAATAGTCAACTGCAGGCAGAACAGCAGCAATTCAGCCCCTTGACACTCACTGCCGTATCGATGTGGTTTAAGTGCCAGCCGAGCGTGCCAGCGCAGTTCTCCAGCCAGCTGTGCCCATCGCCCAGGCTTAAGAGGGCGGCGCAGATCATCTTGTGGGAGGCACTAATGGCACCGGCGCGCAAAATTGCCCGCGGGATCTGTGCCAAGTTCATCAGGGCGTTGCCGAGCGCAGTCGAGCGGGTCCCTGGGGGTGGCAAGGTGTCCATAGGCGATAAGGTTGAGTCACGGTGACAGGTTGTGCAAGGTAAAAGCAGCCGTGAGGACAGACACCAGCATGCATACACATGTGCCCTTGTGTGCGTGAGCAAAGCGCACACTTTTGCAATGTGTTCCTGATTAGTATATGACACGCATGCCCCCACCCTGCTCACCCTCAAACTGCAGGTGAAGGCCCATCAGCCCAAGGCTGAAGCTGTCAAAGGTGGCGGCGAGCGCCGCCTGCCTGTAAGTCAAGGCGGCGCTGAGCCCAACCAGGCCGTGCGCGGCGTTGTCAGCAAATTCTTGGGTGAGAAAGGTGAAGAAGGGCCCTTCCAATAGCTCGCCCAGCTTCGACCTGAACAAGTGGGAGAAAAAGAGGTAGTTGGGAGCGGGGTGTTGAAAACTGACAGGTGATTGATGATAGTTGAGGAATTCACCATTTGACATGGGACAGGGGGGTGCTGGGGGGGCCCAAAATGACTTGGCAGCAGCCACTGCACAAGCCGTGAGGCAAACATGACCAGCAAGTCAGCGGATTTGATGAAGCTGGTGCCCTAGCACTTTATGCACGGCCCGTCCGCGCAGCCTGTGCCCTCGCCCCTGGGTGGCCCACCTCAGCTCTGGCATCAAGGGGTACACCGCCCCGAGGTCGATCAGCTTGAAGCGCTTGTCCCCCGTGTTGTACATGATGTTGGCGGGCTTGACGTCGTGGTGTACGAAGCCCCGGGCGTGGAGCGCCAAGAGGCCGCACGCGACGTCGCTGAGGAGGGCCGCCATGCGCTCCGTGGACGCGACGGTGCTGAGCGTGGAGCCAGGCAAGGCGGAGGGGGGGGGGTGTACGAAGGAGGTGAAGGGGGAAAGATGGAATTGCATCAGTCAACATGATGAAGCGCACAGCAGCACACCAGCGTAGCGTGCGGGTGCATTGAGTGGGTGGTGCCCATCCGACGAGTGGTCTTGCCATGTTTCCACAGAATTCCTGTCACATGCGGGCGCCATCTGATCCGGCAATGAGCTGTCTATCCCCCCCTCTTCCCTGCCAGCGCCCGCACCTTGGCTCCACCACGTTGCCAGCCCACGGCAGCACGCTCAGCAGCGCGGGCAGTGGCGCTACCTCGTCCGGAAAGTGGACGAGCAGGGGCTGGGACGAAAAGCCGTGAACTCCACCTACATGGCGAATGCTGTGGGTGGCGCTGTCCAGGATGGCGAGGCGCTCCAGCCTGGCGCGCGTCAGGTCGTCGTCGGTGTTGATGACGGTAAACTTTAGCGCGCGCAGGGAATCGTCCCCGCCCCTGTACGCGGGCTTGAAGGGGCCCAACACCCGGCCCTGGCCGCCCTTGGCCGTGATGGGCCCATCGGGATTAAGGATGAAGACGGTCTTGCCGTCAGCGCCGACTACTCGACGCTCAACAATGTGCTGCCCCGACTTCGGGTCGAGTAGGCCGTTGAAGGTCGCCAGCACACTAGCGTCATTGTTGGCAGGTGGCTCGTACCGAAGATCCTTGGTGAGCGGGGGGGTTCAGAACGATGCAGGTGTGTCGCATCAGGGCGGGTGGTACGCATGAAGGTGTTGTGATGCCTGACCTGCTGGGTTGACTGGGCGCTGGTGCTGTGTTGACCGCGCCCGTTGGCCGCATGCAGCGCTATCCAGGCGTCTCAAAGTGTGGTGAACAACACCAGGCTTGCATGCATGCTCTGGCAGGGCTGCATGGCGCTCATGCTGGCCGCTGGACCCCTGGCCGCCCTACTCGCTGAGGCTCGACCGCACGGCAAGCAGCGCCCGGCAGCGCAGCGCTGCCTGCAGCTGCCTCCACTAAGACTCTTACCATCTCGTCAAGCCCTGGTGGGCGCTCCAGGGGCTTCAGGTAGCTCGACCGCGGACCCCACGTCGGGGCGGAGGGAATCAGCTGCCGGGGCCGGCGTAGGCGCGCATCATGCTGATAACGCTTGAAAGGCACCCTTTATGCGATCGGGGAGCACCCGAGAGGCTGCTGAACACCACAGAGGCGGGGCGCTGTGTGACGGGAGCCTGGCGCGGCAAGCACAAGGAAAGCGGCAGCGCGTTGTATGGATGTAATGGAAAGTTGAGATTATGAACCTTTTGGATAATCCAATGGCCTCAGGAAAACATGTGAAGATATAACAGGCTCAAATCGCCGCTCGCCCTGCGAGCCAAGCTCCGTTATGTGCGTAGCACTTCAGGACATCAGTGGAACGCGATACGAGAGGACCGACGGCGTGCTGTGCAGTTTGCCCCTGGTGATGTGCGCGGCGGGCTGGTGCAGGAGCCCTGTGGCATCCATATGCAGAGGCAGACAACAGTTCCGATGTTGAATGTGAATTGCATCCGTGACCCCATCAACACGGGTGACACCCTCACACGCTGGCCTCAGCTGCGTCTGGTCAACCCCAAGCAACACCAATTGACCCACTTGAACGAGCGATGCTACCGCGCGCCTCCAGCACGTGCAGTGCAGCATTTCCAGAATTAGGGCCGAAAGTCAAAGCGGTAGTTGCACGGATGAGCACCGACGTGCTGTTCGGCTCGTGCGCGTGCCTGGTGCGGGGTGCGGCAATGCGTGCGGCGTGCTCAGCAAGTCAGTGCTCCCCTGCAACATCATCTCAGCAACCATGCCACCAAGGACCTCTGCGCCCAGCCCCGTTGTACAAGGCCTCACGTCCCATACAGGGTGTGCCCTGCTTGCAGCCAATCAAATCACCCATGAACAAAGCTGGCATGTTGATGACGCGCACGTCGTTGAAATGCACCACAAAGAAGCCTCTGTCTGTCAACCTACCTCTCCTGGCGGGCACTTTGCCTTGCTTCATGGGGCACAAGGAGCGGATGTCACGGCGCTTGCATCCGTCCCGTTCATCAAGCGTGCCGCTGCCATGGCAGGCCCGGTGGGAACCGCGCACTGTGCCTGTACACAGGACAGCGCGCCAGGTTTTGCCGCGATATGGTGCGGGCACTTGCCGCGTTATGGTGCAGGGGTTGAAACTCAAGTCTGGCCGATAAAATACCACTTTATCACACGGTGCGGGTGACTGCGATCACCCTCGCCCCCCAGAACAAACTCCCCTGGAGCTCACACAACAACACCAAGGCGTGCTGGTGGTCCGCAACGGCCAGATCCGTGGCTGTTTACAGCCTTCATAACAGGCTCCCTTTTGCCAAACTTGGCTGCGCAATGCGCAGCTGGGGGCGCTGGTGCCTTCTGCCTCTGCGTCACCGCACCCCGCCATGCCGTCTTGCTGATCCGCGCCCGTGAGAGCGCATATTGCTGTAGCCATGCAGCGAATCATGCATTCACTGACTGTCATTGGCTACGAGCACAGGTGGGGATGCACAAGTTTGATCTCATGCACACCTCAGTAGTGAGGATTCTTCAAACGCTTGCGACGCCATCGCGAAGAAATAATGCTTGACAGTAATCCCTTTTAACGAGTCGCCGTGTCTGATGATAGCAGTCTTATCACCTTGTGTATCACCACTGGCACACCAGCCGCGCCATCCACCCCTATCCTTTGAGCATCGAGCCCCTGTGGGCACTTATCTCAAGTTCAGGTTGCTAACCCATTTCTCGCTGGGTATACGTAGTGCTCCAGTTCTGTTCTGGCGCCCTCATCCACGCCGGGCGCGCTTCACTCGCTACTGTAAGCACTTCCTGCAGTATTTAACAACCTACTGCTCGTTACACCGAGTCACCTGCAGCATCGAGCTGCCCTAGGCACTGTGCCAGCCCCAGCGGCCTGCGAACGCCTTGCTGCAGGCCTGCAGAGCACGCACGTGTGCGACGGCAGCATTGCACATCGGCGTCAGTGGCCGCAGCGGAGGCTCAGAATGGACTGGATGAACAAGGCGCTAGGGGGGGGCACGTCGGAGCAGCACGCGGGCCCGTCTTCTCCCGATCAGCAGGCCCAGCACAGCCTGGCTGCTGGCAGCGGACCGGGCAGCTCAAGCCGGCTGGTGTCGCTACGAGGGAAGGCAGCAAAGGCAAAGACGCGGCCCAGCCTGTTGAATAAAGACAGGTGCGCTGGCGCCGCTTTCCGTGGCCGCAAGGGCAGCACGATTGACACGGCGACCGCATCGTCAGGCAGAGCTTGCAAGCGTGCTGGCGCGGCTTGCGCTTCCGCCAGGCAGTAGGCGGCGGCTGCTGCTGCTGCTGCTGCTGCTGCTGCTGCTGCGGCTGCTGCTGCTGCTGCTGCTGCTGCTGCTTCTGCTGCGGTTGCTCTTTCGTCAAGGCCGCAGCGTGACCGGTTGTGGGCTTGGCTAATGGATGGCAGCCTCGAGAAAACTGCGCAAGGGCTCCCACGTGCGCGCATGCGCGCCTTGCCGCCCAGGGCAGCCCGGCCGACAGCCGTGCGGACCAGCTTTTTGGTCTCAACCCTGGCTGCCGCCCGCTCTCGCTGCAGGCCGTTCTTCAGCGGCGTGCATCGCTTTGGTGTGGCGCGCTTCGCGCTGTTCCTGAGCGACCCATTCCACACGATGCTGAAGTGAGCGCCGGGCATGACAGCGGGGCTCGCAGCTGCAGCCGGGAATGCGTGCGGCCGGGCCGGGCCGCGGCGCGGCAGCTGTGCGGTCCTGCGGCGGTGATCATGAGGCTGTCTGAGCAGCGGTGGCTTGTTGACGGCCGGCGGGCAGCTGGCATGCAGCGTCGCAGCCGCTGAATCCACATCTTACAGCAAGCAACTGCTCTCCACTCGCCAATCGCTCACCCTCGCCCGCGCGTGCTTGCCTGGTTGACGTCGAACTACCTGCCCTTCTCCAGCTTGTCGTGGTGGAAGTTCATAGTCATCTTCTTCACTGTCTACATGACTTCCTTCTGCCTGTTCGCCTTCATCTACTGGGCCATGCCTGCGCAGTGCATGCATGGCGTCGACGGCAGGTGCGGCGCGGTCAAATTGATCTGGCACCGAGGGGTCTGCAGCTGCGGCTGGGCCAGAGCACGGCCACCCTGACATTGGTGTTTGAGGTCTGTGATTTCTGACCCCCCCCCCCCATCCTCAGTTACACATGCCCTGGAGGTTCCCACGCTCCCCCATTATCACGCCCCCGGCCCCACTTATTTCTGCACTGTGTCCTCGCCACGGCTCGCCGCCCGTAGCTTTGCGCACGCGCTGTGGGTGAGCAGCCGCACCGCCTCCACCCTGGGCTTCACCAACGTCTACCCGGATCAGGACTGCGTCGGGCCAAACCTCACTGTCATGATACAGGCGAGCCCGGGCGCCCGGTCAAACGCCGCCTGTGACCGACATTTGACCTCGCAGCAGGTGCCCGCATGCTTTCATTTGCATCGGACCCGCAGCGTCAGTCGCCGAGCCGCTGGGCCGGCCGGCGCGTCGGCTGCTCCCCTTTCTTTCCATGGATGTCCGCTGGCGCGGGTTTGATAAAAAAGCGTCCAATCAACGCCGCCTCCAGGTGATCTGCTCCTCCCTGATCGACATGTGCATGCTGGGCATCGTCTTCGCGCGCTTCTCGGCCCCCTTCAAGCGCGCCCAGTCCATCCGGTTCAGCGCCGTGGGCACCGTCAGCCGCCACCCCTCGGGGGCGTGGGCGCTGTCCATCAGGTGCGGCGGCGGCGGCGGCAGCGGCGGCGGCGGCGGCGCGGGGCTCTTGCAGGCGGGTCTGCCTGCGGGCTGGTGGCATGTGTGGTTGACACGGTCAGGTCTCCTTTTTTACACCTCCACACCCTTTCCCTGGCTTTGCTAGCCCTGCACAAACCAACCCTGTCAGCCCTTCACATTGACACACGAGCTGCATTTCTCATAAGGCCCTTCTTTGCCCATTGTGTTTCCACGTGAAACCGCCCAGGGTGGCAAACGTCCGCAAGCACCAGCTGCTCAAGCCCGAGCTTAAAATGATTGTCACGGCCATCGACTCCATCACACCCAGGTGCGCGTGTGCGCGTGCGTGCGTGGGTGTGCATGTGTGCGCGTGCGTGCGTGCGTGCCTGTGTGTGTCTGAGCAGGGCCGAGGTTTTGTGCAGAGCCTAGGGCAGGGGCCGCTAGTATGCTGCGTGGTAGTTCACACGCCTGCAGTCAGGCAGGGTGGCTGGGCAGGGCAGGGCAGCTTTTTTAGAAGGATGGCACGCGGCAAGCCGCCCGGCTGCCCTCTCGCTGGTGTGGTGCACATGACGGGTGCCCACCTACAAACCCCAGCTCGTGCGGCTGCAACCCACTAGTTTGGGGCCCTGCAAAGCCCCCCACCCCACCCGTGTGTCCCTGCCGCGCATCGAAGTGCTGAACCCCTCCCCTGAATGCGCCCACTCCCCCCTACCAAATCAACCCCTTCAGCAACTACATATTCGAGTACATGGCCATCGAGGACCTGGACTCCCAGCAGACCAACCTGCAGCTGGGGTTCCCCGCCAACATTGTGCACATCATCAAGGCCGACAGCCCCCTATACAACCTCAGGTGCGGCTCCATGTGCTAGGCATGCCTTTTTGAAGCAGGCGTGAATTTTAATGGGGGGTTACGAGGGTTCCGAGGTTGACGGGTTGAATTGGCGTGGCGGTCTGGTCCTGAATTGTGAGGGCGTTCCATGCATGCTGCTCGGAGGGCATCTGCCTGTCTAGCCGCCCGCCCATCACCCCGCCCTCGGCGGCCGCTGCTCTGCAGTCTTGAGGAGATGGAGACGCGCATGATGGAGGTGCTGGTGTTTGTGGACGGCATCGATGCCATGACGTCGAAGCAGATGCAGGTGGGCTGTCATCAGGCTGCAGGGGTGGCCTGCTGAATCGTCACGGCTGCGCAAGCCGTCCTCCCAAAGAACTGAGAGCACGCTCACGACGCAGCAGCGGTGCTGTGTCCTTTCTTGATGTCCAAATTCGCATGTCCCATGTGGCCCCGCTCGCTGGCTGGGCTCGTCAAGCGCATGCGGACCCGGCCCCTTTGCCATCCCCTTGCTCGCTTCCACGGCTCCGTTTGACGACCGCCGGCATACAAACCAAGTCCGGCACCTCTTTGAGCCGCTGCGAGTCAACACCCCTCGCCCGCCCCCCTCGCC